TCGAGGGACTTGGTCGGCTGTTGCGCCAAACAGAAAGAAGTTTTCTTCTCCAATCTCTTCTCTTATCTCAACATTTGCACCATCAAGAGTTCCTATGATAAGGCAACCGTTGAGAGCGAATTTCATATTGCTTGTGCCACTTGCCTCCATGCCTGCTGTGCTGATGTGCTGAGATAGCTCACTTCCGGGTATAAGCATCTCTGCTACAGTCACATTGTAGTTTGGAACAAACACCACCTGGAGAGGCAAATCCGTTAAAACCAGTTAGAACTTCTTCAGCCCATGTTCGAAAAAAAAACCGAGTAATAGTGATTCATTGCATCAATCCCAGGCACACAATCATTATCAAGCAAACAAGCATCGTGCTTAGCCACCTCTAAGTTGCATGTAAAACGTTTTTAAGATGACTCGAACAATGTTACCTTCAGGTATTCGTTGACCTCTGGATCGCTGTTAACAACGTCACCTACATCATTCACTAGCTTCACTATCCGTTTTGCATTTGTATAGGTTGCAAAGGCTTTACCCCCAATCATGACTGTACGAGGAGCTGTTTTCTTCCTTTCCTCAGGCTTCATCTCCTGTAACATTCAGTTGCAGAAAAGAATGTCACACAAGAAATACATATATTGCCTAATATTAGATTCTTCTGCGGTTAAGGCACAAAATTCTGCTAATGAAGCTTTATGAGCTTTGGCTGGAACCAACGTATTAGGAAACTTAAGATTTCTGTTTTGGAAAATTTTTCCGAAAGAAAGGGATTGTCCTGACGTTTCTAAGCTTTTTGAGTTTTCAAAGTATCATTTGATGGAATCAAAACGTCATAGCTAAAAGTTAGAAACCTGACACCCATCCTAAAGTATCAAGAATTAGAAGGTCACAACTAAAACCAAATACAGATAGATGTTTAAGCCAACTATACCTTTAGTTTCTTGAATCTGTATATAACTCCAAGAATGTTCATAAGCTGCCTCTTGTATTCGTGGATACGCTTAACTTGAATGTCAAATAAGCTGTTTGGATTAATACTCACACCAGTCACACGCTCTATATACTGAGCCAAACGTTGCTTATTGGCCGCCTTTGCAGAAGCCCACTCAGATTGGAGTTCTTCATTGTCCGCAAACTAACAGAAGAAAAATAATAACATTAGAAAGACAAGAGTAAACCCCATTCCAGATTTGGTTCTAAAATAAATGTACATCAGACCTGTCGAAGACCAGTTAGTAGGTCAAGATCGGTGATCCATTTGTCAGTCTTCAACCACTTTGTAATTATATCACTGAGCTCAGGGCTACAGAAACGAAGCCACCTTCGAGGTGTGATGCCATTAGTCTTGTTTTGAAACTTGTTTGGCCAAATAGAGACATAGTCTGCAAATAACTCAGCCTTTAAGATATCACTGTGTAACTGAGCAACACCATTCACCTGCAAAAGAGCCCCCCATAATGATAACTTGAAACCAAAAAGGAGGAAAGGGATTTAGAAACAACATAATATAGTTTTCATATAGGGCCAACTTACCGTGTGCGAGGATACAACACATAAGTTAGCCATTCTCACAACTGGCTTCTGCGGATTGTTATCTAAGATGCTCAAAGTTGAAAGTTTATCCTCAAGATCTACACGGGTGGTGCAAATGGTTTGCACAAACTGCAGAAAGGTAAATATACTATTATGGCAACAGACAACATAAATACATCTTTAGAATTATCAGCAAAATACCCTCTTATCAATCTCTTCTATGATCTCCATATGACGAGGAAGAAGCTTCCACATCAAAGATTGTGACCATTTCTCCAAGGCTTCAGGAAGGACAGTGTGATTGGTGTAAGCAACGGTCCTGTGCATTTTACAAGTAAGTCCCCGACGTAAAAGTGGATAAGATTTGGTGGCAAAGATGAGAGGTTTCATGCTTAAATGCAATACCTTGATGTCACATCCCAAGCTTCATCCCATCCAAGTCCATTGTCATCCAATAGCAATCGCATGAGCTCAGGGATTGCAAGAGTTGGGTGTGTGTCATTCATTTGAACAGCAACTTTACTTGGAAACTCTGACCATTTCCGACTGCCTTCGCTGGTGCTCCTCTCATTAAATCTTGAGATAATATCCTGCAATATGTTTCCATAGTATGAAGAGGAGATATTAAAATAATGAATCAATTGCAAGAAATTATGTTTGAACTTGTTTCTATTGAAAATATTGTCCACTTAATATGCCAACTTGCAATGTTTGCACATTTCAGTCTTGCCCACTATTGACATACATTATGGCTTTAAAATTGACGAAAATGGAAAGAACCTACAACCAAATTGACAAACCTGAAGCGAAGCACTGCAGAGAAAGAACTGCTGTTTCAATCGTAATAGCTTCCCACTCTCGGTAGCATCTCCTGGATATAACACAGTGCAAATCTGTATCCAACATAAATTCATTGTTACAGAGAAACAAAAAGCCACAAAGCAATGAAAAAGGTGGAGCTTTATGTAGAGATGAGAAGTTATAACCTGTTGAGCTCGAGAATGTAGCTGTGCAGCCAATTCATATTCTCCTTCGTTGAACTGAAAAAGGTCAAGATCCTCCGCTCTAGCTTTTGCTTCCCAGAGTCGGAGACTGATTGTGTTCTTCGTTTTATATCCTGGGATTGGCACATCATAAGCAAGAGCTTGTACAACATCACCGCCTACCCACTTCCGTCTACATATTGGTCGATCCATTACAATAGTTAATAATAACTTCAGTGAATATTTAGAGAACACATAACAAGACTCACTAGTGTATATATGTACAGAAATTTCAAGCACAGTCGTATTTTTAGTAATGTAAGTTCCAATACTTATACTTACGATCCATCCGGATTTATCTGCACATTGCCAAAAAATCTGACAGGGAATACTACGTCATGCCTGACAATTTCCCACGGGCTGAACTTCTGCAAGTTCCCATTATAAGAGGGTGAGTTATAGTCTCAGAAGACGATATACTGGAAACACTACACTGATAATCATCACCTCAAGCCAGTCCTCTGCAACCTCTTCTTGGCCTTTCTTTGTGATTAGTTGCTTAAACAATCCATGTCTGTACCTCAACCCATAACCCCAAGCAGGCAAATTTAGGGTGGCCATCGAATCCAAGAAGCACGAGGCGAGTCTCCCCAAACCACCATTTCCCAGAGCTGCATCTTTTTCCTAGAACCATAACATCAAGGCTTAAACATCTCCAATGAAGAGATATTAAGATTTTTATCAATGTCTCAAGTCTTCAAAGAGGAAAATGGTAACTCAAGAGTACCTGTTCAGCTATCTCCTCAAGCTCGTAGCCAAGCTTACGTAATGCATCAGCATATGGACCTTGAAGGTCCAGATTCCCAATGGCGTTTGTCAAAGCACGACCTTGGAGATATTCCATTGACAAGTAGTATGTTTGCTTTGGATCAACTTTGTTAAAATGAAGATAAGTCTCATTCCACAGCTGCAAAAACAATACACACAATACAAAATCCACCTTATCCCCATGTTCATATCACTCTCAAACACATATTCAATGGAATACAACCACCAGAAACTACATATTCAAACATCCATATCTACTTCACGAGCATATCTTCAGTTCATCAAACAAAATTTACGGAAAATAAAGGTCCAGAAATCACAACTTATACCTGAATGAGACGATCGCGAAGGCTCTCTGCAGTGGCGTAGAGAGCTTGTTCAGGCCCGAACTTCAATGGGGAGAAATGTGGACTGTACTTGGCGTGGTAGATGATATTCCCCGCGATCTCCGTAGCTTCATTCGCCTCCGGGTTCGCCTTCTCCGAGATTTTCTCCGGAAAACCAGTCGCAGACTTCCCATTGGCGTTTGCCATCGCTTAACTCCCTGAAAACAACGAGCAATATTCAAAAATTGCTTACACAAATCGAAAATTACACTGAAACTAAAAACTAATCGACGTTTGAGAACAATTTCACAAGAAATTAAAATCACGAGTACCAAATTTCGAAACCGGAATCTGGAAAAAGATGAAGGAACACTTCAAAACTTATAAGCAGAAGTTGCTACGGAGAAGAATCTGCCGAAGAAAGAAAGAGTATATACTAAAAAGGAACGGTGGGAAGATATTTGAGAAGGAAAATGACAGAAACGTAATTTTCTCTTCTTTTCTATTGCTTCTCTGTTATTTTTTTGTTCGAGCGATTTGATTCTTTCTTTCTTTTTTTTTCCTGAAGGATTGAAAGTGTGAGGATCACAAGAAAAGAGAGAGTGAAGTGAGGTTTTTGTGTCAGAGGAAGCTCGGAAGAACTTTTTTGTATCTTTACTGGAAAATATCTTATTAGGAGGCCCCATATCTATTTGTTTTTTAGTTAGCTACACCCTTAATATTTATTTTGTATAAAGAACACCCTTGTATTTCGTATTGGGGACCACGGATCTTTTGCTAAGAATTTAATAAGAAATAAATATTGATAACGAATGCAAACACAAACACTGAATAAAGAAGAAAAAAAAAATTGATTTTCAAGGAGTTCAAATTTATAAATACAACAATTTGGCAACGAAAGGAGTTAAAAGGGAGCAAATCTGCGTAAAAGCCAAACGTAGCGGTTCGCTTACGTATCATTGTATCAATACAGTAATGGAGGGACTAAAGTGAAGAAAATCTTACCAGCCCTGAGGTACACGTGTAATGAAGTAGAGAAAGTGCGCGCACCTCAAGGTCCCAGATCACGGATCTAGACCTGCAAGTCACTTCACTTTTCTCTTCTCTGCTTCTGTGCGCTTTAGCTATTGATTCAATTTCTTCGAAGTCTATATAATCTTTGATTTATCTGTTTTCTTAAATTATGATCATTCTTAATGAAAATCGTCGTATTCGATAAATTCGTGGGCTTTGTTGAAGATGTTCTGACATTCAACCATGCTATCATGAGCACCCAACTTAGCAGAATGGATGCTTTTCTAAGAGCTTGGTGTTAGGCTACAATCATAAGCATTGAACATTGAAACATTGCTAGTTTCGCTACATATTATTTTATTTATCAAAGAGTCTCTATACAAGACCGATATATCTTTTTTACTGATATTTACTAGGAGAAGAGAAGCTGATTCTATTTAGAGTTATAGCTTCTCCACTTGGGCTGATCCATCTATCATGTGGATTTGTGATCCTTCAAGCTGCTAAGATGACCAATATATACCATTAGAATGATGCAAGATACTGAAACAACAAATGATTACGAAGTGCATGAAACAGAACGACCTGGTGTGTCAAAATCGACTCTTTCTCCAGTTGAATATATGTTGAAAAAGAGAGCAGAGAGGAGATATAAAATTGCTGTAAGAAGGATGAATCCTTGGAAGGAGCCCAATAGTTCTACAAAGAAACCAGCTCCAACTGTACCAACTATTGCAGCCAAAGTCCCAGCTGTAAGACACATTCCTAAAACAAGGCGGAAACAATCAGAAAGATTTTTGGTAAAATAGCAAATAGTTTGATTGATTCTAAGGCCAATTCCTTCTCAGATGGTACAAATTAGCTGTCTGTGTTCAATAAACTCAGGAAATCAATGTCTATCGAAGGAGAATTAGGAAAGTGTACCATGTAGAACACCGGAATATTCTGGAGCAATTTCCTGAAACAAGAGAGGGAATATATTTTAGAGAAACTCGAGATTTGTAGATTAAAGAATGAATCACACGCTTGGCTACCTGAAGATTGATAAGAAACCCCAAGTGGCTGAATGATTTAAGCCCAACAGCTAAACTTAGCCAGGCAGATGCTACTAGAGGCCGTTTTGCTGTGGTTAGACCTATGAGAGCAATCCCAGGACCAATGAAACCAATGGACTGCCAAAACAAGGAATGAAATCCCCAGTCAGCACAAGAAAAAAAGAAAAGAAAGAAAGATCAATGCACCAGAATTTATTGCATCAGACTTCAACACTGATACGTATGACCTGGTGATTGAATGCAATCTTGTCACAGAAAACCACAAACCTGCATGAGTTTTCGCGTCATAGTGATGCTTGTACCACGCCGTATCAACAAGTCCGACCAAAAACCAGCAATGTATCCTGTGAAAGCCATCATACTCCATGGAACGGCACTGAACCAAGCAGCTTGTTTGAGGTTCACATGATATATCTGCAACACATTATCACTTATGAAGAGTCGACTAGAAAGAACAACAATCTATTCACAATTTGTAGGTGCTAGGGCCTTACTGAATTGAAGTAGATCGGCATCCATGAAAGAAGCACAAAAAACCCCTGTAAGCAAGCCATTTAAAGTCAGTTACATGAGTCTCACTCCTCCAAGAAAAATCAAGACATTTCCTCACAGTAACGAGAATGAATAAGAGTTGAGCTGAGGGGGAATCTTTATACATACCCAGCTATGCATAGAATTTCCAACTATAACAGCCCAAGTCGGCATCTTGGAGAGCAGCCGTCTAAAAGGAGGGATTACGCTTGTGTTGTTTCGTCTGCTCTCCCTAGTAGATGCTTGCTGCTTATTCTGGTATATGTACTCGAGTTCAGACTTTGTAATCTGAGGATGCCGATCCGGTGCACTTGACGTAGCAGATAGCCAAACGAGCATCCATAGGAACCCGGATAACCCAAAAATCACAAATGGTCCATATATACCGCCTTGAGACATAAGAATAGGAGACAGCAAGAGCCCAACTGCATTCCCAAGCTGAAACCCCGCCATTGCAATGCCAACAGCCCTAGAACGTTCTGTTGGAGGAAACCATCTACAAGAAAAGTACTATCACTAAGAACTCAATACATTTCACTAACTACTCTAACTCGTTTCCAGCAACCACTCTGACTCCTTTTAAAATCATATGTGTGTCTCTAATCACATTTGAAAAAGTATTACTGAGAAACAAAATATCACTACCTCGCAACCATGTTGTTCATGCAAGGGAGAGCCACTCCTTCAGCAACCCCAACCATAGCTCTTGCAGCAAGCAGAGCCCAAAGAGAAGTATCAGCAGCCCAAGGGGTAAGAAATGTTGCCAACGACCACAAAGCAACTCCCCACGCCATGACTACCTTGCCACCATAGCGGTCCACCAATGTTCCGCCAGCTATTGGTGAAATTAGGTAACCCCATAGGAACGATGACTACCAAAGAAGCAAACAAGAAAGTATGAGACGAACGACAACAATGGTGGCTTGTTAAAAAAAGGGACTTAAAACTTCGCCATAGAATCTATGAGTGTTCTTGGAAGAGCCAATTTTTGAAAGAAAAACAAAAAAATCGAATAATAACCTGAACGATCCCGGAAAATGACTTGCTCCAGCCACGAGAAAGTGAAAGAGGTACAATCGCGACGGACATTACAACACGGTCCGCGTTGCATAGCGCCAGGGCAAGCGCGAGCATCGCGACCACTTTCACCCTCTCCGAAGTTATAAATTCCGAAAAATCAGGTTGCGCCGTCGCTGTCACCTCCGCCGCGTCGTGCCGATCATCCGGCGTACGGCGAGCATCGCTGCAATGCACTCTTCTTCGATGACGCGGAATGCCACATAGATCCACGGTAGAGTGTCCGCCGAATCTCAATGAGCCCAAGCCTCTCTCGCGGCAGAGGAACAACCTTCCCCGACGATATCGCTCTGGTAACGCCGAAAATCCCAGTTTAGCTAAGCTCGAAGTCAAAATTGTTCGATCTCCATGGATTTTTAGGGCGTTGCGATTGTGGAAGTCTATTGACGATTGTAAAGAGAGAGAGTAACACATTTTCACCTACCGGAGCTGCTTAGTGCTTAGTCCAGTAAGAGAGGAAGACGAAGAAGATGCTCTGCGTCTACGGATTGCAAAAGCACAACCGCGCGATGCGGGGGAGTGGCACAGCCGTAATTAGACAGCCGCAAAGAATAGTTATACTTTTATCCAGTAGCTTTATATGTCTTCTTTGGCCCACTAATATTAAACAGGCCCATATGACCCTTTTTGGGCTTCATAATTAGCAGGATTAATTAATGAATATATTGCAATTTAAAAATAAACTTAGATTTTCTTTACATTTGTGACGACAGATTAGATTAAATAAAGTGACTCTTACATTAGGATATTCAGCTCGGATTGACTGGTTCCATCTTAGCTGAATTAGAAAAGTGATCTACATTTATTCGGTTAAATGGATTTGTATTTATGAAAACAGAAAGAAAAACAAATTAAGCTGTTGACAAAAAAAAATTAAACTAACTCCTGAATTCTGTCAAATCTTTTAAAATATGTGTATTTTTGTGATAGAAGTAATATTAAGGCAAATTAAAACTTGATCAAACCAATCCAGTTTATTACTGATAAAAATTACAATTAATACCCCTGCATTTTGTATCACACTTACATTTTGTAAATCAAATGTAGATCCTAGCGGTTTTTTATAGAAACCAAACAAAAAACATTTTTTAGTTTGTCTTTTCAGCGTTAGTACAATTCATTTTTTTTAAAAACAAACTTATTTTGATTATGCCTTGAGTGTCATTGATGTCATTGAGTGACAAAAAGATACAATAAATGAAAATTAACTGTCACAGTCACTGTATCTGGAAGGAACACGTGGGAGATTCCAATCTTTATTAGAAAATGAGAACAATTACAGTGTCAGTAAATCTGTTTATGTCGACAAAAAGAAAAAGGTACTAGTATAATATAGTAATAACATAAATAGTGTTTGTCTTTGGGACTTACTAGTTTTTGAAGAACACATCTCTTATCTTGGGAACTTGTAGCTCCGAATCTCTATGTTACTCGTGTTGTCCACTTTATTTACGGTCGTGCTCTCGATAGATTCCTTTAAAATTCGTAATTAGTCCAACATATTAATAGTAAGTTATAGTTCTAATCACTTTTAAACAAAAAAAATGTAAGATGGATAATTTAAATTTCAGTTTAATCGAATATAGTACTCGACATCATAAGGATAATCTGTTAAACATTTCTGAAACTACAAAAACAGAAGAAAATATTATAAAAAATTTAAATTTTCGTTTTTAAATAAGTAGCTTTTTATTCAAAGAAATACACTTAAACACTAGAGCTGTATGTTGGATATTCGAATAGGTTCATAATGAAATGCGAATATACTAAGTTACTAACCTATTCTCCTTGTATTAGAGATATTTAGAAGTTCGAATAGTCACCGAATTATCATAACAAGCATTTCATTGAAGAAAACAAACATTTTTTTTTACTTTTTTAAAGAAACACTAGATTCTAACCCGTGCATCGGCACGAGAATATTTTTTATTGTCGTATAATATAAATATTTGTTAAAAGTTTGAGATGTATTAATAGTATTATTTAGCATTATAGTTTTCTAAAATTTAATCTACGAAGGGAATGTACAACTGGTTTTTCAAACCACATTATAGTGTATGCAATAATTTTTAATTTTTTATGTTTTGATTTTATATGAAAAATATATTTTCGATATACATGTATAATTCAAAATTAGTGATATTAGTTACCAAAATATTTTTAACCCGATTTTTTATATATATTTATAGTTCGATGAATTTTAAAAAATATATTTTTAATATTTAAATTATACATTTGAATTTTACCTATTATTTTATTATTAATTTGTAAATAAATCATAATCGTAAATATATTATATAAACAACATAAATATCATATCATTTACATTATTATAAATATTTTCTATTTCAAATATGATAATTATTTTTCATATGTGAATTTTTTTTTAAAAAAATTCTAGATATTTTTGATAAAAATGTTTAATAGTATAAAAATTATTTAAATTAGAATCTTTTAAATCAAATCTAAATTAATATCTGATTTATTAGTTTTAATCAAATCAAATCAAATATAAATTACTTATATTTTTTAGTAACTCTTAAAATATTTAAATTAATAACTAATTTTCGAAATTAAATATAAATAATTATTAAAATTATTTTTAAACATTTAAAAAAAATTAAAAGTGTTTGAAAGCAAGTACTAAATGTGCTTCTGTTTTAATATAATAGATAGATATTCATCTGAAATAGAAAAAGTTGACTTTGACCTATTGATTTGGAAGGGAATCGAAAGAATTGACACTTGACAGAAACTGCCAAATATCTTCGTATATATAAAACGAACACATTATTTTTTTTAAAGAAATTAAGCCAAAATGTACAGATACAAAAAACAAATTATACGTAATTATTGAAAAAAATACATTTATAGTTGTATACAAAAAACAATTAAACGAGAGAGTAGGATTAGGCCAAAGTAGGATATTGAAGGAAAACATTAATGAAAAAGGGTTTAAGGAAGTGGAATTTCCATATTTAACCCTACAAGTACAAGACTATCATCGAGATACTGAAAATAGACTGACTCTATCAACTTCACTCTCTCTCTCTGTCTTAACTCACCGCCGCAGCAGCGATTAACGAACCATGGCCCACTCCAAGCAAACCAATCGCCGTCGTTCCTCCTCCTTATGCCACCGTCATCCTACCGCTAAACCCACCAGCGGTTTCTGCGCCTCCTGCCTCCGTGAACGCCTCGTCACCATTGAGACTCAGTCTTCTTCCCCCACCGCCGCCGTACAGACCCCTGAGCTCCGTCGTATTCGCTCCCACTCCGTTCGCAACGCCTCCGCCGCTTGCGTCTCTGAGCAGCCGCGACGGAGATCGTGTGACGCTAGGTCAAGCGCGAGCTCTCTCCACGACCTGTTCATCGATGATGACGAAGAACGGCTCGATAGCTCGATTCGGAAGAAGCCTCTGGTCCCGGATTTGAAAGAGGAGGAAGAAGATTACTACGACGGAGAAGATATCAAAGGCTTTGACGAGGGAAAACCGAGGAAGATCGTGGAAGAAGAAGAAGAAGAAGAAATCGACAATGTAGAAGCTGGAGAGCACAAGACGATGAAGGAGTTTATAGATCTGGATTGGGGAAACCAAATCAAGAAGAAGAAGGAAATCGCGTCGGTTTTGAGCAGGACACTAAAGAAATTCTCACTGAAGAACAGAAGAGAAGACGAGAAATCAGAAGCCAGATTCGCCGGAGATGTAATTGGTCGTCGATCATGTGATGTAGATCCTAGATTTTCTCTCGACGGAGGAAGGATCTCGTTCGAGAAACCTAGGGCTTCATGGGATGGATGCTTAATCGAGAAATCATATCACAAGCTTACGCCATTGTCCACCGTGACGGAAGATGCTAAAACCTTCCCGGAGAAGAAATCCGACGGAGAGGAGAGGAGCCCAGGAGGGACAGTTCAAACGAGGAACTATTACTCGGATTCTCGTCGGAGAAGAAGCTTTGATCGATCGATTTCGATCAAGAGACGAGGATTGCTCGAGGTTGATGAATTGAAAGCTATCTCGAACGCGAAGGTATCACCTGAAACTCTTGGTTTGTTCCATGGCGCAAAGTTATTAGTTACGGAGAAGGAGCTTAGGGATTCAAACTGGTACTCGATCAAAAACCAGAAACCAGAGAGCGTTGAATTAGGCTCGAAAGGCAAGATCTGTGTAGCTTCTGGTGGGAAGAAGCTGGATGGTGTAGAGTTAAAGAAACCTAGAAAGAAATGGCCCAAGGGATGGAACATTTGGGGACTGATACAGAGGAAAAACGAGATCAAAACCGAGCAAAGTTTGAAACTTGAAAGAAATGCGATCGAGGGTTCTTTGGCTGAGTCTCTGTTAAAGCTTAGGAGAGTAGCTAAAGGAGAAACCAATGGTGGTGGTGGTGTTAGTGAGAAGCTTTTGAAAAGCTACAGTGTAAGCGCGAGAAAGTCTTGCGATGGTGTGATTAGTGGTGGTGGTAACATTGTTAGTGGCGGCTTTGAAGGTGGAAGAAGCTCGTGTGATGGTCTGTTTCATGGATCTATTAATAGTGTTGAGGTCGGGAGAAGCTCGTGCGATGGATTGGTTAATGGCATTGAAGGCAAACAAAATCATTATCTTCACCAAAGAAAAGCAAATGTCGGCACTTGTGCCCGAGAAGACAACAGTTTGTTTAGATTCTATTTGACTCCGGTAAGGAGCCAGAAGACTAGCAAATCCGGGAAGAGTAGGCTGATGAGTTAATTTTTTAATCTGAGATTGTTTTAACTTGTGTTGTAAACTTGTAATTAGCAACTAATGTATCTGTTACTATGGTCAATTGATAAGTGAAACAAGATATTCGATGACGATACTTTGCCATGATGTTCATAGAGCTAATGAAATAAGCCAACAATTTGGAGTTGGATTCATCAATCAAGAGTTTTTCTTTGTTGTTCAGATCTGTTTTAGACGGGTATGAGCGGTGTATATGTTAACTTTCGAATTGTTTGCATATACAAATACGACACTGTTTGTAATATATGTCATTAGAGACTTCCTCGTACCTCAATCAGACCGGTGAAGTTACACCGGTTTTTGAATTGAGACCGAAACCAAGAGGGAACAATGGGTCATACGAATTGGCATGAGCGTTTAGCGGCAAATGCTCAACGGTTTTGAACCAGCTCACTGGTAACTTTCCCTCGAAGTCATAATCTCCAAAAATGACGTCAGCCATTCCTTGTCCTTCTGTTCCAGGCAGCCAAGCAGCTACTAGAGCTTCTGTCTTTTCAAGAACCGCCGGCTCCAAAACCACAGGTCGTCCTGAGATCAAGATCACCAGAGTCGGGATTCTCTCTGCGACGGTAGTTACAATGTCGCTACCATTAAACGGTATTATGAGTTCAGAGCTGTCGCCGATAGTCTCAGCATACGGCGATTCCCCCACTGCAACAATGGCGTAAGAGAATCCTTCACTTGAGGCTAAGGTTTCCTTTGATGGAGTTTTCTCGTAGATCACTTCGGTTTTGTCTCCAACTGCTGCTTTTATGGCATCCAAAAGCGTCGTGCCTACATTAAAGACAAAGATAGTTCACATACTCACTAACTTTTCAACCAATTATAGTCTCTTTCCAAACCATATAGCAATCACTTTATATACCGATTGTGATCTTGCCGCTTAGACCAAACCATGTCTTTGTCCATCCTCCGCACTGATATCCAAGATCATCTGCGTGCGGTCCAGTGACTAGAATTCTCTTGGCGTTGCGATCTAGTGGCAGGAACGGTTTATCAGCATTTTCGCCCTTCTTAAGCAAAACTAACGACTTTCTAACTGCTTCACGCGCCACTTCTCTATGTTTCTACAAGCATCGAAACAGAGTCAATCATGCTCTCTCATACATCTGTACTTGATACGAGAGAGACCTCACCTCGCAGCCAACAGTTCCCAACAAAGATCGGTCCGTGAGAGGATGTTCAAAGAGACCAGCTACAAATTTCACTCTTAGTATTCTTTCAACAGCATCATTGACCCGAGCCATAAGTATTTCCCCTGACTCCACTAGACTTGTCATGTCCTGTATAAACTTTTCGTACTTGAATGGTACCATCACCTGCAAGAACATTGGTTATATAATCTTCTCTCCTTCATTCATCAGAGAGGATGAATATATTACGCATACGGGTTTCAGACTCTACCATGTCAACTCCAGCATTAACCGCAAGTTTGATACAGTTGCGGTAGTTTGATCCCTGAGGCTCACTAAGCCGGTCCAAACCTTCCCAGTCTGAAATTACAAATCCCTGGTAACATAAACAAGGAAAGTAGCTCATTACACCTCTAGCTTATTTGGATTTTTTGGCTAGTAGTTTACACAAACCTTGAAACCGAGCTTTTCCTTGAGAACTTCAGTTAGGAGGAAATAATCGGCGTGGAGTCTACTTCCGTTCCAACTAGAGTAAGACGCCATAACCGTGGAGACTCCCTGAGCAAGGCAATTCAAATACGGTGGAATATGTATCTTCTCCAAATCTTCATACGACGTAATGGTGTTCCCTTCGTTTATGCCCTTGTCGGTACCACCATCTCCAACAAAGTGTTTTGCACACGCGACCACATTGTTTCTATCACATGTCGTGAACAAATCCATGAGAATTGACATCAGAGCTTTCAAAGACACATATCAAGCCATAAACGTACCTTCCTGCAACAAAAGGGTAACCGTTAGGGTGTTCTTCGGGTGGCACGCCTTGTAGGCCCGAGACTAGCGAAGTCATCTCACAGACAAGTCCAGCATCTTCTCCATAACTCTCATAGCTTCGTCCCCATCTTGGATCTCTCAAGACCTGTAAGAAAGACAAAGTAGCAAGATTTTCCATTCAATATTTACAGATCATAATTTCAATATCGTTGTTAGATTTACGTCTACAAAAGTGACTCACAGCCACGCATGGAGCAAACGCCCAGTGAACTCCACTCGCCCTTACTTCAAGTGCAGTTGCAGCTCCGATTCTTCTGACCAAATCTGCGTCTCTAACCACAAAAAGTATACCATGTTATCACATTAATAGTAGTCAACACACACCATCGCTGCAATAGAAGCACCGATCTTGAACACAATCAGATTTCTAATCACAGCCACTGCAATACTACTACTACCTTGTAATCAGAAGCTAATTGAAGCAAAATAAGGATTTCAAGCTAGATTCAAATGAGGTAAGTAGGTTCGTTTGAATGTTCTCTACAAGGCAACGTTCATCACAAAAACAAAAAAAAAGTAAAATTCAACCAAGACCGATACCATTATAGAGCTTAGTCTAAAAACTATACTTAATTATCGAATTTTAAAGGTTTTAAGACCTTAATTTCCAGGTTCAGTACATGCAAATCTCTCTCTGCTCAAAGTTAAAGAGAATGGTAATCGGGGAAAAAAAAACCTGGTGGCTCCGAGACCGATGTTATGGGGGAAGACGGTGGCGCCGTAGACATTGTTGTTGCCGTGAACGGCGTCTGTGCCGTAGATGATCGGGATTCCCAAACGCGACGCTAACGCTGATCGCTGAAAGCCATCGATCATATCAGCCCAATCCGAAGACTTCGCGTCTTCGAAAGGCACACTCCCTCCGGCGTTCAGTACACTACCTGCGATTGGAATTCATAAATATTACTAATTCTAGTAAGCAAGAGAGAAAACGGAGAGAAAACACTGACAAATGATATGCTCCGAAAATTCAAATTCAGCTCGAATTTAATTTTGATTAGTACTCCAAAGTTCTTATTTGAAGATGAAGAAGAAGAAGAGTGGTTGTGTGTTACTACCAATGAAGAAATCTGTAATGGCGGCTGGAGAAGCGACGGTGCGTTCGATCTGAGTCATCTGGCCAATCTTCTCTGGCAAAGTCATGTGAGAGAGAAGGTCCTGAACACGCGCCTCCACCGGCGCGTCTGGGTTCTTGTAAACGCATGACGATTCCTTTCCTACCATTTTCTTTCTCTTAAAACTCTTCCTCTCACAAGTTTATGCTTAAACTTCTCCTTTTTATCAAGCTAAACCGGCTCTCCTTTTATCTAGCTAAACCGGCAGAGACGTGGCACAATGATTTCGACATTCCAACCAAAATGATAAATTAATTGGTTTAAATAAAGTTGTACACATTTGATGATTTGATTAACTCACGCCAATCTTGTACATTTCTTTACTTAATCACACGTAAAACCTTTATTATATCTACACAGCTAATTATGCTTAAATGTTTCTTACATTAATACAAATTAGTTGAACTAACCATATCATATCAGGCATTGAAAGAAAGAGTACAAAACCAAGAACTAGTATACTTTTTCTACTGAATAATCCAAGAATTATGCGTAGTCCACACATAAATATATAATCAATACCCTTGATCATGTCATTTATTTTCACCCGATCCATAACCAGACCAGCGGGATTGCAATTGAAACTGAAACCAAGATAACTTAGTTTTTAGGTATGTAATGCAACCGTGTTAATCAAGTTTGACTTGATTTTCCAGTTGTTCATGAGACAAGGTGGTGGTCGGATCTACATTCTAGCTCTGTTAGTGATCGGCTTGTCAAAGTCTCTGATCCTCCTCTTCTCTCCAGGAGGATCAATTGGCTTCTAGGATGTGTTGGTGCTTGAGGAAGTGGCTTCACTGTCTAGAGCAGAATATCTATCCTAAGACTCTTAAATGCAAGATTTGAGAAGTTAATACAAAAATACATGATTATATTGGAGATAGACGCAAAGAAGGTTAGAAATTCGGTTTCGATTTCAAAGCAATTAGTTGCTTTCCAGCACTTGTTTTTTTTTTTTTTTTGGTTAGAGGAGGCAAGTAATTTGAATCATCTCAAAAAAATATAAAAACTAAACACATACAAAGCAAACTACATAAGATTTAACCAACCAATCTTATTACATTAACTACAGAACACGACATATAACATAGCCATTTTTGCATATCTAAAAGTTAACATATACAAATACTGGTTCACCTTTTCTTCCTTACATTTCTATTAGTTTATACAAAATTTACAGGATTTAAACTCTAACTTTTTTAAAAAATTAACGTGTTTGAATTTATAATCATGTTTTTGTAAGACTAATTACTTGTACATGGTAATAAATTTCTTTCAAAATAATTGAAAATATTTTGAAAGTATTCATCATATATATAATATAAATGTGGTAACTTACTAATCAAAGTACAACAAATCAAAAACAAAAAGTTGGGTACTTTGTTTGTACACTTTTGTTATTGTTGATTCTCTAGAAAATATTTTAAAAAAATATATATATATATATAATGCATTTACAAATCAAAATATTTTCTGACTCCGCCACTTGGTACAATTTTAATATAAATTTCTGTATAACCAAGTTAAAGAAAAAACTTTTAACCGAACGCTTTATCACATAGAAGAAATATATTTTTTCGGTAATATATCATTTTGCCTTCCCTGTAATAGTAGTAGAATAGTTACATAAATTGTTTTATGATATTAACTAAATATCAAAATGGGAGTAATTTAAATCAGTGTTAAACATGTACTTTTGGATATAATAGTTTCCGTGTAACCAAGTTAAGAAGAAACATTTATGAACCGAACACTTTATCAAAAAGAAAAAAAGAAATTCTTTTTGGATGAATTTCAGTTAGAACGTACATGAAACACCATTAGTATTTACTATTTTATTGCTCATACTTATTAAAATGTAAAAAAGCAATTGCAATTTTCAAATGCAAATTACAAATCATACCCTTGCATGCACTATAAAATGTAGATGCTTTAGACACAAGTTTCACAACATACCGACTTTAACAAATCAAAATCCAGTCACAAATGTTGAAAGGAGGAGTTC